TAATAACTCTCAATATTTCTACTTTTAAATTCCATTTTCATTTTGGTCTGCAATGTGCAAGCATCAAGATTTTTTTAAAAAGTAGCCCATTATAATCATAGCTTATAATATTATCATAGCAGCTTATTTACTTCRTTGATCTGACAAAACAAATGTAACGTGGTTTAATTGTGCCTCGTTGTCATGATATTGATCAAATAAAGACATCAGTGAAACTGCAGCTCCTAAAAATCAAACCCGAAATTTTATTTTCATATCTAAACTTTTCATGTTACTGTGCTTATTGTAAGCAAAACTAACATGGAAATAGGCTAACACTGTCACTGTCGTCATTACACTGTGAACGTCAAACACTATACCAGGTATTTCATTCATTACAAACTTAACTTTACTGTTGTGTGTTAAAACATCAGCTAGAGAAACTTACTTTAACTGCAGAGAGTTGGAAGCTCAGTGACTCCACTCTGCAGCAGACAGACTGCCTCGTCAATGTGACACATGTTCTGCCTGCGGAGCGGCAGGCGGTGTTTGGAGCAGGGCCGTAACTAAGCTTTTCAGGGGCCTCAGATTATATTCAAAACTGTATATTTTTGGTAAATAGATGTGTATTTTGAAGGTTGTAATGGGCTTTTGGACTAAAAAACAGTTAGTAATTACAAATATTTTAGAAACGTAGAAGTAGGGCTGCTGGGGAGGTGGGGGGGGCAGCTCTACCACGGGGTGGGGGGGGGTGCAGTTGCCCCCCTGTAGATCCGCCCCTGATTTGATCTGATTCATCGCAGTACAGTCATGACATTTCAACACTGTTGATTTCATTTTCAGCACTCCATTCTTGGTCAACAAGTATGGTTCTTTGGCCTACCATTTTTTTATCTCGTTTATTTTTAACATTTGGTCAATGAGTAATAGCCTGAGAAAACTATCACAAATACATACTACTCCTATTAAACTTTATATTTTTCAACAATTTCATATCTATTTTTTAATAAATGCCGTAGTAGATTAAACATGCAGCAACAGTTCTCCATAATTCAAAGGGTTAGGATTTCACAAAGCAGCTCCCTGCTGTTTGCTCCTGGGTTCCTGGTGGTTTTTTGAGCCGTTCATACTCCGCTGAGTCTGCCTTTTTTTTCTTTTTTTCTTTTTTTTTTTAATCTGGTAATGCAGTAATCAAAACTCCAGCAGCCTTCCAAAGCCATGTCATGATCTGCCACAGAGCGAGTCTGTTTAACACATATTGTGTTTGTTGTTCACTCAGAAGATTTAGACACTGGCTTAGCAGCTGCAGCTCGGACAGATAACTAGTACGGCCCAAGGAAGTAAAAAATCGTCTGCATTTTGAGAGCAAATTAAAACTGCTCAGCAAGAAGTTTAATAGGTGGCTGTCCAAAGTCACGTTGTAAACTATCGCACAGAATAGCCAGGAGTTATTCATCGTGCACCACTCAGGTTTAGGGAGTCTGTTCTGCTCTAAATTATACCATCAATTCACTTGCTGCCTCCGTCTCAAGGCGATGCAGATGGTTTTATCTCTGCTGTTCTTCTGATTTAGTGGGGGGATAATGCTGGTTTTTTTTTTCAAGGTGGATGGAGGGAAGTGGAACTAAAGTCTCATTTCAAACTCTGCTGTACTCCTCACCTGTAACGTTACATGGTATTTGAGGCAAGCTGGGAAAATGAGGACTCAAACCATGCTACTGGGAGGCCTCATCAGTCAAATCCATTTGCATTCATGAATAATTTGGGCGTTCATGGAAGAAAAATGTTTGACACTCAATGCAAACAAATCTGTACTCCTGGGAGGTGTCTGAGCATRGTGTGTGCTTGACTGGAGGTAACTGTAATGATCAAGTTTGTCATGCTGTCATTGCACCAAATTGTATTTTTCGTGTTGGTCTGGGTAAAAATTGTGCAAGAAGAAATGATGCACCTTGAAGTTATTTTAGCTCACTCAGAGGACTGGGAAGGCCTGTTGTTTCTGTGAGATTAAACCAGGATGCTTTTCACGCTTCTGTTAGATGTTTTACAATTCAAACATCAGTGTTTTTTTAAATACACTTAGCACATTTTATTTTTTAACACCTTATATTACGACAACTCATTTTCCACTGCAGACAAACAWTCCCCAAATCTGATCTGCTCAAAGCATCCATCTACCCATCTATCTATTTACTCGATCACTCATGTCTCATTTTATGACTCTTACATCACAGAGGTAGCAGTGAGCGAATCAATCCAAGTATTTGTAATGATGCCAACATGATGGGAGTTTCAAGTAGAACTCTGCATTTCTTCAGCTACATGTCCTGGACGACTGAGTATCCACAGCAACAGATGATTCTATGTTAGAGTCGGACCGTGTCGATACTAATGGGTTGGGATAGTTTATTTTATCGTCCGCTCGTTTTTTTCTCTAAAAAAWTAAAACGTTACACCAGAAAATACGACAAGAGGCTAGATTAAATGTGAACGCTGGGCCTAYAAAGCAGGTCCGATAATAATTTAAMCATTTCTGATTGCACAAGAACCTTAGAATCCCACACACCAACACATGTAGCTTGTGTGGTTATTTCCTCAAACAAAGCCCGTCGCATGTGACGTCACTTCTTCTGCCACAACGAGTCAACTGTGAACTCTTAACAGTTCATACTGAAGTGTGAAGGAGGTCATTTTTTTATAATAATGCAATAAAAAACTATGTAATCTAAGTTATTCAGTGTGAACATAAGCCTTGCATTATTTCCCCACTTCCTGATTCACTCCACACACTCCGTCAAGACCTCCCTGCCTCAGATAATTAGGTGGGAATATGCAGGTGCTGCTGTTCAGAAGCACTACAGTAACTTTCTCTCCTGCCAGATGGGTGGGTGGGCAGGCAGGTAGTAACCGTTCAATACAGAGCTTTAGGTTCAAAACAAACTATGGATTGAACAATAGATTTTTAAAATGTACTTTATCAARWTGTCTRCTGAAGATGCTCTGTGTTGAAGGATCAGTGTGTTCGACTACTCCACCTAGGCTGCATTTTTGAGCGCAGATCCACTGAGAAACTTTTAATTTAATTTTGAATTTTCTGTATCGTTGTCACTGGTAGGCAGATGGGTGGTTGGTTAGGCAGGCAGGCAGGCAGGCAGGCAGGCGGGCGGGCAGGCCGGCGGGCGGGCGGGCAGGTAGGTAGGTAGGTAGGTAGGTAGGTAGGTAGGTAGGTAGGTAGGTAGGTAGGTAGGTAGGT